CAAGCTTAACCTCGTTTGATGTTTGCCTCATTAGCATCACAGCCGGAGGATAGAGTCTAAGTGTTTCGTTAACTATCATACTTACCTGTTCAAAAGGGGACATCAATAAACAACATGTGCGGGAAGCAGCAACAAATTTGTATAATTTAAGTACTACTTTTAATTCAAAGCACAAAAATAACTTATTTCCCTGCCAATGTCTTGGAACTTATAAGAAACTGAGATACTGAACTTACAATCTTAAGGTCATTCAAATTCTCTGCAACCGGAAGCTTATTGCTTCCACAAGCGCAATTGACTTCTTCTCGAGCCTTGCTTTGCCATTCCGGATGCAGCGCAAGAAGGAGAAGTGCCCAAGTCAAAAGATTAGCAGTTGTTTCCTTTCCTGCAAAGTAGAAGGTCTTGCATTCATCAATAACTTCTTGTATCTCTAATTTCTCCTCTTCACCATCCTGATTCTTGTAAGCAGACATTAACAGACTAAGCAGATTTCTTGAATCTTCTCTTGTTTTGCGGTTATTCACAATCAACATCCGTATTGATTCGCGAGTTTCCTTATCTAGTCTCCATCTCTCTCTGTTATTCTTGGTAGGCAAAAACCTGTTTGTAAATGAATTTGATGAGAAAACACGATGGATATTGAATCCCTTTTTCAATTATTGAAAGAAAACCACCTGACATTCAAAGTAACAACCCAACACTCTAAATTTCATGTCATTTACCACATTAAAATACATCATAGCAGTTCAAAAGTATAACAACAAAGAAAGCATGCTTCATAGTTCAGTCAGCCTTACATATATATGAGGCCTAAACCAGTCATAGTTTGCCTTTAAATTTGAGAAGTAAAGTCACCTGAAGCCAGGGATGTAGATGCTCCGGACTGCCTTGGAGAAAAGATGCATTTGTTGTTCTTGTAAGTTGAAAACTCGCTTTCCCTCCTCGAAACTGCTTCCAAAAGCTGTCCTGGATATAACATCTGCTGAGAGCTCATGAAGTTCCTTGTGCACATCCATCTCAAACTCATCTCTCCCTCCTCTTACATCCTCCCATTTCTCCAACATCTTCATGGTACTAGCCACAATCTCTGGCACCCAACTCTGCATTAAAGAAAAGAAAAATAACCCAACAACAACATCAAATAGAAACCACTTGGGATGTACAACTTATTAAATTTGACTATATTACACCTAGTACAACTTACACTATTAGATACGATAGTCGCTACTCTAAATTAATTTAATTTACGAAGAGAACGAAGGGTATTTGAGTTTGAGGTTACCTTGACTTTCTCCATTTTGAAGGCCTGATTCACAACCCTTCTGTGAAAAGCCCATTGGTCGCCTTCGAGCCCAACAAGGCCCTCTCCAAATAGAATCTTGGTTAATGGGGTAAAGGGTATCTTTTGAAACGACCCGCTCGTATTCATAAGCACCTCTTTGATCATCTCGGGGTCTACTATTGCCAGCCTGGGCTTCGGCCCAAACCAGTACAGGAAATTCTTCCCGTACATGCGGGACCACCGGTCGTAAAATGGGGACGCGCGTTGAAGGATGTCGTGGTCAAATGCGCCTCGCTTTGACTGAGCTTCTGCAAACAGACGGCGGATCTTGGCCGAGTTCCCGAAAATCGGACGGTAGGCCGGGCCCCTTATGCCCTGCTTTTGGAAGTGCCTTTGTGTCCTCAGTGGGACCCATATGGTTGAGCACACAAATTTGAAGAGGAGGATAAGAGGAGGGACAAGCAAAACAAGAAGAACAAGATGCATCTTGAAACCGCAGAGACAGAAGAGAGTGAAGGAAATGGAGATTTGAGAAGACGGTAAGATTTATTACTTTTAGTGAGAGAGCGAGCCTACACTTCCTAATCGCTACATATACATCATGCATGACGTAGACAAAAGATTAGAAAATTCAAAATAGTATTAAGCAATTCTACAAGATATGCCAAGTTTTCTTGTATTTCTCAATTTAAGTGACGGACAACCTACAAATGCCAAATAGATCCTATTGTGCCAGCAGGGATGTCGAGGCTCCCAAGCTTAACCTTCTCTGATGTTTTGCTTTAATAGAAACATAGCCGGACTGGATGGTTGAGTTGCAACGAAAAACATGTTTACCTGTTCAATCAAAAACATGTGAGCACCGATAATTCAAATAAGGTTAAATACCTATTTTTGCTCCTTGTGTTTTATTTTGTTAACGATTTTGGTTATTTCCGTCTAGATTAAGCGATAAGACTCGCGATTAACGTCAAATTAGGCAAAAGTGACTGTATATTTAACTCATTGAAATACTTGCATAGGAAGAAACTGAAATACTGAACTTACAATCTTAAGCTCATTCAAATTCTCTGCAACCACGAAACCAATTTCTTCCCTGGTTTGGTATCATACACAAACCAAATCCAGAGACTTAATTAAATGTCAATCTTTGATCTCATTCATTTCCTCGGATTATGCCGTGCAAGTGTCCCCGTGTTGTTGTTGTGAATGAAACATTTTCTTTGATTTCCCACTGGTTTTGAAGTAATGGAAAGTCTTGGAATATCCTATTATATAGCATTACTGACAAGAAATCAATTGGAAAATCTAACAGAGATAACCTTTTTGTTTGGTCTTCATTCTTGACTCCTGACCCTTGATTATGTTATTTACGTATTTCTTGGATCTTCTCAGTTACACGTGGAGGTTTTGTAAAGATATGTCTATCATTAATGGGGTTATCTTATTCTTAATCATAAGATAAAACTCACACACACTCGAGAGTCGAGATTAAGTTTGTCTTTAATCTGCTAATCTAGTAGTTTATCCGCCGTGACAGTTTTGACGGGAAGAATAGCACGTGCCGTACACTGTACAGGCAGCTGGGTGGCATTAGCAAATGCAGCTAGCAAACAGAGACCACCCGGCAGGAGTTAACCCCACCACACCATCAAACCCAGCGGACCCACTCTTGATCAGATTCATTCAGAGCAGTCAGGCGGGAGGAAACAAATGCATCCGCCAGCTCACGAATTAAATACATCTTCATCTTCACATCATTCACTCTCTGTCAAATTAATATCTGGTCCAACCCTAAGCTCTCGGATTTGACCACCGTACGTGTACACCGCCATCCACAGTCCATATGGATCTTTAATTCCGGAAGCGGCACAAGTTTGTTGTTTTAGATTTCTAGATGCAATAAGATGAATCTGACGGTGTAAGTTGAACTAAAACACACCCACAAAACTATTCCAACAATCGCACAAGAAGGAACTTTAAAGACAACTGAATCACTCACTTTTTACGTAGTACAGACTTGGACGCACATTACATGTTTTCCCTTAATTTTGTGCTGTGCACTTTGCTACGCTAGCTAGTAACTAGAAAATTAAGCTCCTGTACACTGCTTTTTTTCCCCTTCACATCCCTACAGACTACAACTTAAATGAGCTAAATACTCAAAACAGCTAAGAGATTCAAAAGACAAAATTTAAGCAATATATTTATAATCAGCAGCACAAAACACACAAGGCCACTTCGCTTGGAGAATCTTCAAAAGCAGGAGCGCCAGCGAGTTGCCCAGAGTCGCTCTCTTTACCTATGCCAACAAAATCAATCACAGGAAGGAAAATGAGCTGTTCTAGAGCAAGGCAGGCCCATTGGACTATCTATCTTGTGCACCTTCCCATGACTCTCTCTGAGAACTCCCAGCCCCTCCTCCTCCTCCTCCTCCTCCTCCATACGCAGTAGCTGCTGCAGCTGCAACGTCGAAGCCACTGCCCCCACCACCAAAGGAATTTAGCAACGCAGAAAGCCCGCCTGTGGAAGCACCGCTGCCGCTGCTGCCAACACCTATGCTGAGCCCAAGAAGGTCACGCGTCATGGGCTGGCCCCCAAATTGGGAAGGTGGGCCCATCATTAGATCAGTCAAATGGGCAGCACTTGCAGTTGAGAGAAGTTCGAGCCCAACCCCAGCTGCCATCTGGGTAGTACCACCGCCACTCTCTGGCTTGTTCCACTGCAGCGCCGTGCTATTTTCTTGAGATGGGGACGAGGATGACGTGGCCAAGCCAAACCCACGAAGCAATGACGCGTTTGATGCGGCAGCGCCCATTTGGGCTGCCTTTTGGAGCAATGCGGTGGCGGACATGACAGCGGGTTGAGCGTAGTGGCGATGGTCTTGTGGTTCAGGTGTTGGGAAGAGGGAGGAGCCGTTGCTGGAGAGGTAAAGAGAGGTGGAGAGAGAGAGGGATGTGGGTTCGTTAATGGAGGAAACGGTTGGGATTGTGGTGGAGCCATCGGGGCGTCCCAAGGTGGAGACTTGATTAGAGAATGAGGATGGTGATGATGTTTGCGGTGGCTGTGAGATCAATGCTGAGGCTGTGGAAGGTGCAAATATGCTTGCAAATACACTGCTGCCGTTGTTGCAGTTTCCTGTT